TCGTCCTCCAAACCTTTCGATTGTAACAGAATTTCTTCATAGGTATGCCGTCTATCAGTATTTTTTCATAATTTATTGGAACTTCATCTGGAGGGTTCCGAACTTGTTCATCTTGGCATGCTGTTTTTAGGCATGGTTCTGGATTCTGAACTTGTTCATGGCATGCCGACTCTTTTGATCTGATTCCCTCTGTTATCGACAACTATTTTGTATTATTGCCGATTTCCTATTTGCTAATTGCTTAGCTATTCATTTTTGTATCTTGCCTATCTTCACTCTATGCATTTTTATCTTGTATTCTGCAGAGGTAGTTTGTATAGGTTAATTCACCGACCGAACAATCAATTGAATGAACGGAGCGCTTAAGGATGGCTCTTGATGCTGTATGATCTTATCATTTTATTATTAACAGTACTAGGATTTATCACACTCACTTTGTAAGTGAAAGAATGTTTACAATGAAAAATAATATATTTTAGGAGAAATATAAAACGGTAGTTCTGCTGTGCGGCAGCCTAATTTAAGGTTAATTTAAAGACGGTTTCAACCTAAAATGTTATCATGTTCAACCTAAAAAGTTAAAATTTATAACATTTTCGGTTGTAACCTGTCCAACCTAAAAAGTTGCTCTACCCACTCAAAAGTTACTCTTGATAAGATTTTCAGTTGCAACCGATTTCCGCTGTTTTTAAGTCTTATATTAACAAGTTGTATTTTAGAATTTCTAAAATGAAGGGGTTGGGTAGCTCCCAGCTTGTTAGGATGTATTCTATTAGCTCTCTAGTTTTAGTTTATTTTTAAAAAGAAACTCCTTTTTCGTCAACCATAAGTTTACCAACATTTGTGCTTTATATGTTGTAGATTATTTTGTTTTGTCATTGGAGACTGGGGATTTGAACCCAGCTCTTTGAGATGGGGGATACTTGCACCAACCTGTAATCAAAATGCTCGGGTGCCAAACGATTATGTGTTCTTGTAATTGTATTTTGTTTGGTCTGTTTAAGCCTTCACTTGGTGGCTTTGCTTCTTATCTTTCTCCTTTGAATGCTTGAACTTTCAGGCTCGGGGAATGAATTACTGCACAATTGCACTCCGATAGTACACCGTGATTTGAAGTCCCCCAATCTTTTAGTTGACAAAATTGGGTTGTAAAGGTTGCCTTTTCCCCTCTTAATTATCACCGATCCTTTTAGGATTTCTTTTCTAAACAGCTCATCCTAACATGGAATTTTGTAGGTCTGTGATTTCGGTTTGTCACGGATGAAGCAGCACATATCTATCATCAATGTCAACTGCAGGGACGTAATACCAAACAGTTTTTAGTTTACCATATGTGATATGCTTTTGAATTTAACCGTCCCGTATCGCTTTTCTCCAGGCTGAGTGGATGGCTCCCGAGGTACTACGAAATGAACCCGCAGAGAAGTAGGCTTTCCCCTTTCCCCTCTCAACAATGCAACAACCATGGAAAGGAATGAATCCGATGCAAGTTGTTGGTGCTGTAGGATTTCAGCACCGTCGTCTCAACATTCCAGACGACCTAGATTCTGCCGTTGCAGAAATTATTAGAAAATGTTGGCACACGTGAGTATATTTCTGTGGTCCTAGTTCCCTGTATTTTAAAACAGTCATATTAAAACACCAAGAACCAAACTTCCACGAATGGCGGAGGTTGCGGTTGTACTCCAAACTCTATGGTGATGGCATTGCAATCAATAGTATGTAGTTGCAGAAGATGTATCTGAATGTGTTTATTGGTGATAGGCAGAACTGATCCCAGTTGTTTTGAAATTGTAGAGACCCGAAACTGAGGCCGACGTTTTCGGAAATTATGGCTGCTTTGAAGCCACTGCAAAAGCCTATAACAAGTGCACAAGTTCCGAGATCGACTGTATCTTCAAAGTAATTCCCATGGCCTGCTAGGCCAAGGAGAAGGTATTCAATTTGTGCATATTATGTGTGTATATATGAAGGATGCTGCAACAAGAATGCAGATGGTAATTAGAATATCCGGGTTTAAATATTATCTACATTCGCAGTACTCGAATTGTATAAATACAAGTCAGATATCTGAACAGTAGAAATACGGAAGTTAATATGAAAATTTATATTGAAGTTGTAGAGCTAGTAGCAACAATTACTCGACTGTTTTGTTGCAGAAACTTCATCAAGAGTAATGATTTCTTTACCGCCTTTAAGACTGGTAATATTTCTTTCGTTTTGGAATCTATATATTTTTACTCGTGATCTCGTGGATTTTAGTGATCATTAGTAAAAAAGCTTCCTCCACGTTCAAGTTTTGCAGAGCAGATGTTTCCATGAAAAATAGGCCCTGGACTCGGCTAGGTTTCTCGCTTCTTCCTCAGTGACTTCTCGAAATTGACTCAAATCCGATTTGTTTCCGACGAGGACGACAACTATGGTGGAATCGCCGAACTCTCGCAGCTCGTGCATCCATTTCTTCACGCTGTCGAATGTTGCTCTTCGGGTTATGTCGTACACTAACACTGCACCCAATGCTCCCCGATAGTATGAACTTGTAATTGCTCTAAACCTGTGTTTATTTCAACAAATAACATCATGAGGATATATCAATTCGTAAAGGTTTAATGCTCATTTTGACGCATGAACTATACCCGTTTTTCTATTTCGGTATACCTCAATTTTTTTTTATCCAACTTCAACACTTAAGTTATTATTTCTGTCATAATTTACCCCAAAATAAAACTCGTTATCAGCGGATGTTGATATTTTTTAGATAAAGTATGATAAAAATGATTTAAGTACTAAAATAAGATAAAAAGTAAGAAAATATATACAATCCGAGGGTCAAGATGACTATTGAACCATTTATAAACTAACAAAATATTACCAGCTATCAAATAAACCAAACTCCTAAACAACAATGAAAATTGTCAAATTCAAGATCTCAATGTCCAAAGAAAACTAGGGTTTTGTGGTGGGTTAATCTCATTAGCAATAAATGAATTAGAAAGAGTTGCAACAAGGCACGCGGTCACTTTGCCACTTGTCGACCCAAAAGAAATAAAAAAACAAAACAAAAACAAAATTACTATTATTAAAAATTACATAATCATAAATTAACATATATTTTCCACATTTATCAAACATAAACTAAAATATTTATTTCCCATATCTTAGGTCCCACTAAATACTTCCATTTATCTCCGTTGAATCAGCAACTAGATCATCATGTAGCTGGAAAGACATGTTCATATGATAGGCATGATCGAGTTAACTCACTAGTTCATACTTTACATATGCTGGAAATCAGTTTCTACAGAGTGAGTCGGTTAACTAAGTGAGTGTCTTGCGTTGCTCTAGCTGAATTTTGTGAGGTGATATCTAAATCAGTCCATCAACATGCTTAATACAATAATTAACTCGGTGACAGCTTATGCGGGGAGTCAAAGGACTTGACAATTCTTCTTCAATGAAGTAAAGCTATGGAGATATTACCTTTCCTGGCCGGCTGTGTCCCATATCTGAGCTTTGATGATTTTATCGCCGATCTTGACGTTCCGGTAAGCGAATTCAACTCCGATGGTTGGCTTCGAATCCAATCGGAATTCGTCGGAAGCAAACCTCGAGAGAAGGTTCGATTTCCCAACCGCCGAATCCCCGATCAGAACTGCCTTGAACAGGTAATCACTCTTCGTCGTAGGAATCAGCCATACACGAAGCTTGTGCCCAGTAAACCAAAGATCAGAAGCAGAGAAAGACCACAGAGGAAAATCGAAGATTCACGAAACTGAGATGTTTAGTCATACATAAGACTCCTAATCAGCTGCGTTTTGGTCCAATTTGTTTACATTTACATGTGAAAACATAGATAAAGCCATATGATCACCTGTTACTTTGATGTTGATTATCACTAACCTTTCGTACTCCATAATTATAATTGACATCGCTAATATTTTATTAAAAAACAAAATTAAATTATACACTTGTACAATAAGAAAACCATTTCTATTTTGTTTCACCTATAAACTTTAAATCCGAGATCATACTTAAAATATATATTTGTTGAGGGCAGGGCAGCTCAATTATTTTGTTCCAACGTGTCATTTTCTTATTTGGCCTTGATATTCCTTTTCATGACATTATGGTAAATATTTAATTATTTTGTTTATTTTTTAAAAAAATACCTAATTTTAAAATTAATGAAAACTTATACATTTAAGACAAAAGTAAATTCTATTTGTACCTACTGTTTTAAAATCTTTAATTTATATAATTTTTAATTATAATGAAGTCTTTTTTGTTTATAATTTTTTCTTTTAAAAGTTATGTAGTATTTTTTTTTATTAAGCTAAGGTGATTACAAAATAGTATTTATTTTATTTAACAATAACAACCAACATTATGATTTACTGATAATATTATAAAAATAGATGAATCACTCTCTATTACCTTGAGAAAACTAATGAGTTTTTTTAAGCATCATAGAAAACTAATGGCTAGTTTCAGCTGTGGTGGTTGCGGTGGCCGGACTAGTCACTGTCATAACCAGGGATTTAAAAAACGGTCCGCGACCGCAATATAGTGGTTTCGCCGCCGTCCGAGTTACCCGCGGCGGCCGCAATAGCGTCCGCGACAACCGCAATCAAGGTAAATCCGAAATAACCGAAAACGTGACCGCGACCGCGATTTGAAACCCTGGTCATAACCAAGAACAGAAAGAGAAAGTAACGAATGTATCTAGAAAATTCAACAAGCACCTGAAAGCCAGCTCCTTGTTTGCTCTCCCCTGTCGTCTTCTTCCACATAAACGTCAAGTTGAATGAATCCAAATCACCCTGTCCAAGTCCCCTGGATTGTATTTTCCTGCGGAAAAATAAGTCAACGTTGAAATTGTGAAAATTTAACACGCCGGCCAAAAAATTTCCTTGTAATGACTTCTCTTTGCTGCAGATTTCTAGTCAATCTTGAAATATTTGGAGGCACTATAATTGCCTTTAAAAAGGAACCAAATACTGATGGATGGACATTGGTTTTTGAATTTCCCCACGAATTCCATGATTTCAAAGCTACTAAGTTGCTCTCTTTTCCTTTTTTGCATTCTTTGTAAGCTGGATCATGTTGAGTCCTGGACATCAAGGAATGAGACTGAAATACAAGCATTGCTGGCCATCAAGGCTCGAATACAAGTTGATCCTTACGGGGTCTTCACCCCCTTGAATGATTCTCTACATTTCTGCAACTGGCGAGGAGTGACATGCGGTCGACGACATCAAAGAGTGACTGCATTGTATTTATCATCACTCAAGTTGGGAGGTGACCTTTCTCCTCACATAGCCAACCTCACCTTCCTTAGGGTGATCGATCTCGGGAACAACAGCTTTCATGTTGTTCAAACTTCAAGGTCGTCAACTTAAACGGAAATACACTCGGAGGGGAAATACATGATGAGCTAGGTTCTTTGTCTATGCTCCGAAGTCTTCTACTAGCAGCAAACGACTTCATAGGAACAATTCCCGCTTCATTAGGGAACATCTCCTCTCCTTCATCTTTCCCTGAAGCAGAACCACCTTGAAGGAAACATTCCTAGTAAGCTTGGGCAGCTCTCAAACTTGAAATTTCTGCAGTTGTCTTTAAACTTCTCTGGTACAGTTCCGAAACAACTATATAATATCTCGACCATATCTCTCTTTTCATTAGCTGGTAACCAGTTGCATGGCCAAATCCCTCCTTATATAGGCTTGATTCTTTCTAATCTTGAGGGCATTTATCTTGGGGGAAACAAGTTTTCAGGGCCAATTCCAACATCAATAGTCAATTGCTCAAGGCTCATACAACTTGATATGGGTTTGAATTCTTTGTCCGGGACAATACCAAAGAATTTCGGAAGCCTGCAAAATATACAAATCTTAAACCTTGGCCACAACTTCCTTGAGAGTTCCAATGATTTAAGTTTTTTCACCTCATTGATTAATTGCACCAATCTTAGTCGATTATGGTTATCCAAAAACAGCCTCACAGGCGTTTTGCTTTATTCAATTGGGAACCTCTCCACAAATCTCATTCAATTGAGGATAAATTCTAATTATATATCCGGTATGGTACCGAAAGAGATAGGAAACCTTGTAGGCTTGGAGTTCCTTGGATTATATGAAAACATGTTCACAGGCATTATCCCTGATTCTATTGGAAAATTTTCCGAACTGAAATATTTCTATGGTTACAGAAACGGTATCATAGGGGAAATTTCTTATTCTTTGGGAAATCTAACCCAACTAATTGTCCTCAGTCTAATTGATAACTTGTTTGGCGGAGAAATAGCTGCATCTTTGGGTAACTGCATTCGCTTGGAAAGATTGGATCTTTCAATGAATCGTCTTAGTGGCACCATTCCAAAGGAAGCAATCGGTCTGTGTTCCTTCGTAAGAGACCTCTAATTTGGTTCAAATAGTTTAACAGGAACTTTACAACCGGAGGTTGGAAACTGCAACTATCTCAACATTTTGGATGTATCAAGCAACAAACATCATGGGGAAATTCCAAGATCTCTTGAGAACTCTGTGATGTTTGAATCACTTTACCTGCAGTGAAACTCTTTTGAAGGAATTATTCCTTCTTCATTCCGAAAACTAAGAAGATTACAAGTTCTTGATGTTTCCCACAATAATCTGTCAGGTCTAATACCAGAATTTCTAGCTGAACTTCCTCTTTCCAATCTCAACTTTCTCAATACTTCAATGGCAAAGTGCCGACCAAAGGAGTGTTTGACAACATCAGTGCATTCTCGGTTGTTGGAAACGAATCATGCGGAGGGATTAAGGCACTTCGATTGCCTGATTGCCCTAAAGAAATTGTAAAGAAATGGAAGTACTTTTGATGTAGAGCGATAATTGTATCCGGTATTGTCCTCTTCTTTGTTTTGTTTTTCATTTCTCTCTTTGCATTCAAAGGATGGCTCAGTTTGTCAAAAAAGAATAAGGGCATTGTCACACCTTTGGATAAGAAACATCCAAAATTTTCCTACGCTGAGCTGCTTCATGCGACCGACAGTTTCTCTTCAGCCAACTTAATTGGTAGGGGAAGATATGGTTCAGTCTATAAAGGAATTCTAAACTGTAATGATCGAAGAACAGTTGCTGTGAAAGTACTATCTTCAACAGCGGGGTGCTGATCAGACTTTCAAGGCTGAATGTGAAGCCCTTAGGAAGCTTAGGCATCTGAATTTAGTCCAGTTGATTACTTCATGCTCAAGTATTGATTTTCAAGGTAATTAATTCAAAGCCTTGGTGTTTGAGCTCATGCCGAACGGGAGCTTAGAAACTTGGTTACATCCCAGGTCAACCGAGGTACACAATTCATCAAGCTTAAATCTAATTCAGAGGCTCAGCATTTCCATTGATGTAGCCTCTGCGTTAGATTATCTTCATTCCCAATTCGACGGGCCAGTCGCCCAATGTGATCTAAGCCGAGCATATTCTTCTCAATGCTAACCTTACAGCACATTAGTTTTGGCCTAACAAGGTTTCTTTCCGAGACTACCGAGCAATTCGTTTCCTAACAAAGCAGTTTGGTGGGAATAAGAGGAACCATGGGATATATTCCTCCATGTAACTCCATTCCACATGGATACATTATTGTATTTGATACAGTGATAATAATCTTGTCTGGAATTGCAGAATATGGAATGAGTATGAAAATATCTACAAATGGCGACATGTACAGCTATAGCATCATTTTAATGGAGTTGTTTACTGGAAAAAGACCGACAGACAACATGTTTACAGGGGAGTTAAGCCTAGCTACGTGAGTATGTAAAGGCTGCCAAGCATGATCATGTGATGGAAATAGTTGATGCTAGGCTCAATTTTGAAGATGTAGCAGGTGCAACCTTCAATCAAAATAGGAAAAGCACCGTGGGCAACGACAATATCGTGAAATGCTTGGGCTCGGTGTTTAACATAGGAGTGCCCTACTCGGACGATTCACCGAGTGAACGAATGATTATCTAAGGTGTGCTGAGAGAACTTCACAAGGCTCGAAATATGCTACATCATTAATAATCTCAAACTAATAATTGCTTTAATTAAAATAACGGCGTGGAATGGAATATTTTAGAAACAAAATATCTTAAGCATATAATTTATATTCTCTAAAAATATAATTTTATAAGTTACAAATCATTCGTAGTTAAGATTCATATGAAAATTGTTATGAAAGTCTAGAATTCACTCTTCATTTATAATAGATTCTTCACCGAAAGTAAATAGAATTCCATTGTCATCGTAATTTTCTACTTTGTAATTTCTTTAGATTAGACTAATTATTTTCTCTTGTGATATATTATATTACTTTAATTTTAAATTTGCAACTTATAACACTCAACCTCAACGTGATTCTTTTCTTGTAATAACAGCATATTTTTTCTATGTTCCCGGATTTGAGTTGTCCGAGAATTGAATCCTAATCTTTAGCAAATCACCTCTGCCACATTAATTCGTGCCTTGTATTCCCAAAGGACCTGAAATTGCAGCAAAACAATTGCTGGCATTGTATAGGCCTTGGGTTTACGTTTAGCTGAAGCATTGACCTAATTTTCATGGCTAGGTGCTAAAATCCTTTTAGGTTTGGTCAACACATGGGTAATTTTAAAAAGTGTTGGAGTTTAATTATGGACTAACCCAATCACGTTTGGGCTACCGTGGTCAGCTGCTATGTATTGTAGACCTTGTAGGCTCAGTTACCATTTTGCATTTAGATATGCCCGTTATTCCAATTACATCCAATTATAATGTAAAATTAAAAAAACAAATCTTTTTAAGTTCGTTGACTGAGAAGAAATTAAAAACTCAGACAAATATTAGGAAATGAGAAAATATTTATCGAAAAAAATTGAGTTAATCTCAACTTTTGATTTTTTTCTCATCCAACGATCATATAAAGTATAAAACTAAAAATTGTACCAGTGTAAGTGGATATGAAAGAAGCTTTTTATGGAATAATATTTTTATGTTTTGAGTTTGAATTTACGAGCACGAATTTGAATGTGATAAGATCTCGAAAGACACATGTAAATACCAGAATTAAGAAGATAATTTCAAATATCATTTTTCATGCCCCTCACATATTTCAACATCATCACAGTCTAAACAAACCAATCAATTTCAGAACCCTTGCTTTGGGGAACCACAGACAACCTGTTGTTCTGTCGACATTAATCACTTTGTTTTTAATGTTGTCTTAGTCTTGAATGTGGCTGTGCAACATGGTCCAATTGCATTTTAAGGCAACGCTTCCTTCATATCCCCACAATTCCCCATTGCACCCATTCCATGAAATGTAACATCACAGAAGAAAACAACAACAACATAGTTCCCAATTTCCAACAATAAAGAAACTACATTAACCTAAACATTACACGACGTTTCAAATTTTACCTACATAGCATATTAAGTAAAAAAATAAGAACGGAAGTGACAGTTTGTTTTTAGTTTTTCAAAGGGAGGAATTCAAAAAACTGGTAATTCGGACCGACGTTGACGGTTGAGGATGCGGCAGCAACCGATATTTCGTTCTCTTTTTCGTTTGATTTCTCAGAGCGAAGAGGGAAGAGCTGTATGGTTTGGGAGTCCTCCCCGGAGGCAACAGCTTCATGGTTTCTAGCAAGGTTGAAGTGGTCGACCACATTGGCATTGTGCCCGCAAGGGGACTTAAAGATGTTGAGATCATGCGTTTTAAAGAATGGGGCTGTTGCTTCGAGTCCATTGTTCTGATCGGAGACGAGTCGACGGTAGTGGTCGCGGTGCTAATCGCTGCCGTGGGAGCACAAGTACTAGAGGGAAAACAAGTGGCAGGGCTAGGGCTAGGAGACAGGCAAGAAGAGTAGGGGAATTGCATCTTGTGCTGCTGCCACGTGGCATGCCTTTCAACAAAGTTTCTCCTCTGCTGTAATTCCCCTTCCTCGAATTGGATCCATCCATCTGACACCACTGCTTTTGCTGCCATTTGTATAGAGACAGATTCCTGGTAATAGTGAATAATACAAATTAATAATCTCCCTCATGGTCATGGACAAATCATCACTAAATAATTTGCAGACAAATAATACAATTTTAACCAAAAAGTAAATGAATTAATTTCCCAGGAAACACATAATCCAAACTGTAAACTGTGTATAGGAACAGTTTTTACATTCCATTCAAATCAAAGGACAAATGGTCCAGAGCTGATAGGCTGTATGGGATGACAAATTGTACTATCGGGATGAGCCCAAGTCTTTTCACTGTCAGAGTGGTCGAATTTACGTAGCTTATATATATATATTTGAAAATGGAGGGAGGAGGTGCTCAAATCAATACCTAGACTGAATGCCATGAATGCATATCGAGCACAACACCCCAAAAAAAACCCAGCTCGTTTCATTACAGCAGCCCGACAGAAGGAAGTACAGCTTTTAAGCCCTTTTCATTTCCCAACAATTCAATGCTTTTTCTTATTCTTTGTGTGTGTGTATATATATATATATATATATATATATATATATATATATATATATATATTCATATTGATATAAGGCCTTAACCATAATCCTTACTCATGCAATGTAATCTGGTTTAAGAAGGGTTAGGGAAAGTGGAACCTTGATTAGAGATGGTGTTACTTTTATGAATATGTTGCATGGACATGTCTACATTGACTGAGGAGGAAGAAGAGATGATATAGACCTCTGCTAGTGTACTGCAGTTTGTAGGGGGTGCCCAGTTTTTGGTCTGTTCGACTTCATAAGTTGTCCTATTCGTTTCTGCAGGGAGACATAGGTAAGAACAAAAAAGAATGCAACTTTACTCTCTCTTACAAACAAAATCAATGGTGGAAACCCGAAAAGCAAAGCAAAGCAAATGTTTATTCTGTAACAACAAATGGAATATGAATAACCAGCAAATGGAATATTAATGGGAAGCAGAAATGGAAAAGTAAACCTAACTTCTCAAAAGAAACAAATTCTTTCAGCAAAAGTCCATTCATATCCAACGCATACGTACACATATGGATATTCCATTAGGTAATATATATATATATATACCTGGATCCTTTCTTTCGAAGATGTCGGGTTCGCGAATGTGTTCATCTTGAGCAGATTCCATTTGGCGGCGTCGCTTTTGGCGTTCCCTTGCCTTGTGATTTTGAAACCAGTAGAACACATTCTTCCCTTCGATCTTGCCATACCTACGCAGTTGTGCTGTTATATGCTGAATCTGGTCGGCGGACGGGGTTCGAGTGCCTCGTCTGTAAAGCTCTTCGAGTGTTCTTAGCTGCTCGGGCGTCGGGTTCCACCTCGAGCCCACCACAACAGCTGGTTGTGTGTTGAACTCCCTCTTCGTTTGGTCTCCCATGCCTGCTTTTAAAATGGATAAAAAAACAATGATATGAGTGACATCTGGTACTACAAGCATGCATATATAACCAAAGTAATGAAGAAGAAGAAGAAGAGAACGTACTGAGGTGATGATTTAGTGCAAAAAACTCGGAGCCATTGATACGGCCAATACAAGGAGAGGTGTTGGGAGAAGATATAGGCCTGGGAATCAAAGGCATGAATTTCCTACTACCATTGAAGGAATCAGGCATGTTGAACTCGGCACCATCGTTGTAACCCATCATCCACATCTTGGCCAGCAGTAGAAACTAGACAACGGAGAACACCAATATAGTCTTAGGGTTTAATGAAGCATGCAATGATGCAATGGCAATGGTTTCAAAACATTGTGTTCATACAAGTGATATTATATAAGAGAAAGGGGTGGAAGAGAGGAAAAAACATGAGGTTGACTAATGAGTATGAATGTATGAGGCAGAGAGT